CACACACACACACACACACACACACACACACACACACACACACACACACACACACACACACACACAGAGGCACACATGCACACAAACACACACAAACAATCTGGCACAGTCATGCTTTTTTCTAGTGTATAGCGAATATGACAACACACACACACAAAGGAAGACGGTGAAAGTCCGACGGAACAGGCTGGCACAGTCATGCTTTTTTTTAGTGTATAGTGAATATGACAACACAGAAAGGACGAAAACAAAGAAACATAGGCCCTTAGGGCTGTGTTCCCGCACCCTTGCGGGAGACAATAGCGGGTCGCGCGTCTGCGTCAAGATGGCGTTAATTTTTTGTGGCTGGCGACCACTCGAAATGGGGTATAAACAGGATGGGAGTTGTGCGATGACAGATCCTTCGCATTTTTGGGGAGAACCGTCAGCTATTTGGTTGCCCTTCCGGTGCCTTTGAAAAGCGTAGGACCGGTCCTACCTTGTGACTGGAGGCCCAAAAAGGGACCCAAAGTCTTGGAACAATGGGATTTTTTAGGTCACCCAATCTTGAAGATCTGACGGTAGCCAATAGGTTTAGCCACAGGTGAACGGCAGCTTGTCGCAAAGCCAAAATGCTGAGTGCGCCTACTTTGGCAATTTTTCGTAATCAAAACAATTATCGAAAAAATCTGAAAATAAACTTCGGAAAACTGAATGCCTACCTTCTCTACTATTTTTTTGTTCTTTACTTTAGCCAATAATGAGTCTGCCAGGCACTAATAGCTTTATTGGTGAGTTTTTTAACTTTTTTTAATTTTAGTAGGTGCTTTTCAAGCTGAGCCCAACGTGGCAACATTAGCAGCCACTGGAATGATTTTAGGAGCAGTTTGTTCCACTTGGCTTCCCCGAAGACCACTGCTCTTCGAGCCGCGTATTGAGCAACCATCTTTCCCAAAAAAAACAAAACAAAAAAACTCTAGGGCAAAAAAAAGCGATGGCAGTTAAAGAATGCATATTTTTTGCCCTACTGCTACCGGTAGGCCCCCGTTGTTTCGGCTAATTGGGCCAGGCTTGGAATCCGCAGGCCTAAAGCTGCGGTATAGTTGGTTCCCATGTTCGTGTTCGCACCCCAAAGGCTGCAATGAGAGGGAACAACTCTCTCTCTCTCTCTCTCTCTCTCTCTCTCTCTCTCTCTCTCTCTCTCTCTCTCTCTCTCTCTCTCTCTCTCTCTCTCTCTCTNCTCTCTCTCTCTCTCTCTCTCTCTCTCTCCCACACACTGTGTGTGTGTGTGTGTGTGTGTGTGTGTGTGTGTGTGTGTGTGTGTGTGTGTGTGTGTGTGTGAGGAAAAAAAACAAAGAAACATACGCCCTTAGGGCTGCATTCCCCACGGCCCCGCAGTAGACAATGGCTCTGCCTGGGCTACCACCTGCGCTTGGGCTGCCTGGGTGCCTCGAACGGGCAAGTGTAGGCCAGAGCCTTGCGTGCATGCGCATTAAAAAAAAAAAAAAAAACCGCAAAAAAGACTATGTTATACAGGATGGCATTACCCAACCGACCATAGAGGGGGGGTGGGTGGGTTAACACTGGGGCCAAACTTTGAAAAGTTGGTCCCCGCCCAACAGACACACAGACAAGCGTGCATGGCCCAAAAGGGAGTGCAAGCACACACAGATTGATATGCCGTGGAACGTCAGAGCACTACCTGGCCATGGTTAAAACCTTGGTGACGAAAACAGTTCAGCAGAGGAAGGCTATATATATATATATATATATCATCACAAACAGAACTTCCCGGTAAACTGTAGGCAGAGAGAGAGAAGAGGACAACAAACGAGGGGCTGTATATACGTTCAGAGTGAGAGAGATCAACGAACTCAAGCAAAAAAGAAAATGCGAGGAATCAGAGCAAAAGGAGGGAGGGAGAAGGAAAGGGAAGAAGTGAGGAGGAAAGGGAGGGAGGGAGGGATGGATGGATGGAGGGAGGGAGGGAGGGAGGGAGGAAGTGTGTCCTTACTTATGGATCTTCTTCCAGTGTACAGGGGAGAACATCCACACACTGGCAATGTGCAATCTCTCTTCATTTGAGGACCACCCTTCTTCTCGCGTCAATCGCCGAGCGACCTCGCTCAGCAAATCTCGTGTACCGTTAGGCTCCAGCTTTGACTCCCGGTAGAACTCATTCAGACCTTTCAGACACTCTGCAATAAACTCGCTGTGGTTGGAAAAGTAGAGCGGGGACAAGTTGATGGTCGAGAGAGGAAAACACCAAAGATAAAAACAGAAAAACAAAAAATACAGCACAGAAAAACAGAAAAACAGAAAAACAGAAAAACAGTAAACAGAAAGAGTAAACAGAAACAGAGAAAGAAAAAGACAAAGAAAGTTTAAGCAACAGAAAAAGAAACAAAAAAAGAAACAGAAACAGAAAAGGAAAAAGGAAAAGAAAAAGAAAAAGAAAAAGAAAAAGAAAAAGAAAAAGAAAAAGAAACAGAAGAAGAAAAAGAAAAAGAAACAGAAGAAGAAAAAGAAAAAGAAAAAGAAAAAGAAAAAGAAAAAGAAAAAGAAAAAGAAAAAGAAAAAGAAAAACGAAAAGAAAAAGAAAAAGAAAAAGAAAAAGAAAAAGAAAAAGAAAAGATGGTTGGCAACGTAACACATGCATGCACGAACAGGGAAGAGAATGTGGAAGCGCGCAGAGGTGAATGGGAGAAGCACACAAACAAACCCACAAACAAGAAGCCATTGGCAATCAATTCATTAGCCTTTTTAAAATTTTGATGTTCCTTGCTTTTTTTTTTCTTTTTTTTTTCCTAAGAACTTCCTGAGAAAGCGAATTGTTGGTCATCTGCAAACTAGAAACATCCTACCACCGCTAGCAGTTAATTTGCCGCCTCGGTACGTACGCTGAGAGGTCACAGTCAAAGTGCTTCCCTTTCGCTGTATCGACTCTATCGATTCTATTCGTGCTACGTATTGTTGATCTGCTAACGAACACTCACCAAAGCAGTTGCCTATGATTTGGAACACACACACACACACACACACACAGAGAGAGAGAGAGAGAGAGAGAGAGAGAGAGAGAGAGAGAGAGAGAGAGAGAGAGAGAGAGAG